TTTTTATTTTTATTATTTATTAATTCTTTTCTTTTTTAATGTTTTTTAATATTATTAAAATCTTATAATTTTAATTTTTATAATTTTGTCTTATTTTTTATTTTATAAATATAATTTAAATTATTTATTTTATAATTAAATTAATATTTTTTTAAATCTTTTATAAGTTTATATAAGATAATGTATTGAACCCTCAATCTTTAGCAATTCCTAAAAAATTATCACAAAATACTTTTAAACTTTTAATCAAGCAGATTTTTAATAATGAATGACAATCAAACTTAGAATTTTTTATTACTCATTACACATATGATTTTCTTATCTATAAAAATTATAATGGTTGTAAAGGTTTAAATTTATAACTTTTTATATACCATTCTAATCTTTTATTATTAAATTAACTCTAATAATTTATTTTATGAACATAAATAAAATATAGATGTTGATAATTCATAACATAAAAAACTTTATTCAAAAGAATACAAATTGAAACAAGAAATTAAACTGTTATAGAAAACCAGAATTATTAAAGTTGATCTAGAGATGAGAAGTTAGAATAACTTATATTATATATAGTTTTAAATTCTGTTACTATTATTGAAATTCCTATGAATAAAAAAAAATAGAAAATCACATATTTACAAAATTTTGATAAAAAAAATATTACTATACTCGCTTTTTTTTTAATCAAGATAAGGCTCACTCCAAAGCCAACTTTCTTCTACTTCCAAATTTTCTTTTATTTAATATTGGTTTTGTCTTTCTTTGACGGCCTTTCATTCAACATCCTTCGGAAAGACGGTTTTTGGTTTTCATGACTTCTCATTTCTCAATATTGATAATTTTCATCGATTAAAAATGCCATAAATTTTTACTCTTTTTTTTTTTCAATATTTAGAAGATTTTTTTGGTCAAAACCGTCTTTTCAGCTTTGGAAGCAGGTGTTCTTTATAAATGAGTATGTTGGTAAATCATATTGTGCAACGAGTATTTTGATAATTACTTTTTTATGATTAATAAAAAAAACGATGCTCCATAGTTGAACATTTTGAAAATAAAAATGCATAAAGTTTATCTTTTCTAAAAGTAAAAAGTAGAATGAGATGATTAAGATTGTTTGTGGGTAATATGTGCCCTAAAAACACACAAGTGCAAGGTGGATTGTAAGAAGAAAAGAAAAACATTATGAGGGGTGCTCAAAGCAAATAAAGCATAAAGTACTCTCTAAAAAGGCCATAGTAGACTAGTAGTTACAACCTAGTACACCCGTGACATTTTATTAGATTCTTATTCAATAGAATTCGTTATGTTTTCTATATTTTTTTAGAAGGACGAAAGCGGATATATTAAATAACATTAAAGTTAAATAAGGCTGTCAATTCTTTTATCTTATTTTATATGGGAAGATATAATTCATTTTCATCTGCTGGTCCATATAAAAATAAAAATGAGTCGCTATTCAGTATCTAAATTAGAGATTAGATTCTTATCTTTAATTAAGAAATATGAGTGTCGAAATACATAATCGACAACTTTTGATCAATTTGTTATGAATATTAAACTTAATTAGCTTAAAAAATCTATTTTTCTCTCTAAAATTTAGGTATAAATACTTTTTTTTCAAAAATCCATTAAATTTCGTTGTTTATTAACAAGCATAAAATTCATTCATTTAGCCCCTTTTTGCTTCTATGAAAAGACTATTCATGTAGATGGAAAGCGATGTATGAAATGTGTTTGTTCCGAGTGAAATACGAAAAAAGAAAAGCGGGGAAAAGCGGGAGAGCTGTACGGAGGGTTCTTCGATAAACCATGGAGAAAAGCGGAGAAAGCCACGTTGGCAAGGATAGAAAGACGTGATTGCCCTTCTGAAAATGCAGTTGTCCATCACGTGCATAATCGATTATGCATGACACATAATCGATTATGAGCAAGCATAATCGATTATGCATGGCACATAATCAATTATGGTGACATATTTTTGCTTTAGTTATGGCCCAGAACGGGCCATTCCAAAGTACTAAAACAAGGGTAATTTAGTAGCTTAGAACGGACCGTTCTCAAACTGGAACTGGTTGTTCCAAACTACTAAATTGACTTAAAAATCCTAGTTAAGAACGGGCCGTTCCAAATTGGCTGTTATGGGTAAAAATGCAAATTAGAAAATATAATTATCATAATATATTTTGTTATTATTATTTATTATTATAAATATTATTATTATTATCATTATTATTAATATTTAAATAAAATTTATCTTATCTTATATATATATATAATATTTAAATCATAGAAAAAATTATTTTTTTCAATATTTTAAATATAGTCAAAATATCAATTAAATTATTAAAATAATAATATTATTTATTTGTATTATAAAAATGCTAATAATAAAATTAAAAAAGAATCTTAAATTAATTTTATCATTAAATTTAAAGAAAATATTTAAATTAAATTATTTTTAAACTAATATTTTATATTTATCTTTTAGTTAAAATTTTTATATTTATCTTTTAATTATAATAATTATAAACTTTTTTTAACCTAAGGGCAAAATAGTAATCTTACAAAATTATTAATTAAAAAATTTATTTTTATCTATCACATCAATCAATTCACTCACAAACTTTCTCTACACTTTCCACTCACTTTCCCTTAATCCAAACAACCTCACTTTTTACTCATTTTCCCTTCAAATTTCTCCTTTTCCACTCTTTCTTTTCCATCCTCAAATCCAAACAAAGCCTTAATTTGAATTCCTCTCAAACCAATTGATGAAGCTTCAAACATCGATATAGAATTTTGAAATTAATTAAAAGGCTCGCAAAAACTATTTGAATGGGCCAACACTAGTGGTAGCCTAGCTAGCTTCAATGCACAATGACCCGAAATATTTCACTTTATGAAAACTTAGTGGATCAATGACAAGTCATAGACACAAACCTTACTAGTACCTTAGAATAAACCCTAGACGGTAGAAACAAACCTAACCCCCAAACATGGCAACAGACTTTGATAAGACTAGGAAAAAAATTAAAGGGAAATTACCTTTTGCACCTTCTTTTTCACTTATATACAGTTTCCATTTTTTTTATCTTTTCAATTTTTTTCCCCTGACAACTAAGTTTCATAAGATAAACTTTTTATTAGTAAATGTTTCAGAAATTAGCTCTACAAATGTCATTAATACATTCTGAAAACTAATTTTTGAAAGTGTTAAAATTTCAAAACATTCTGAAAATTCAATTTCTAAAGGCCTGCATAAAAAAATTAGAATATGTTATCTTAGAAAGTCTCTATCATGATTTGATCCCTCTCAACTCTGAACCACACACATTCTTTCTAGAAAGTCTTTATTTTCTTTTATTCTTGATTATGTTGACAAATCCTCAGCCATGCCTTTATGTTTTGGTTTAATTGTTTTTTCTTTGTATTTTGATTATTGTGACTTTGGGATTTACCTTTTGTCGAATGCAAGCTGTCAAATGTGTTAAAATTTAAAAATTAGTTTATGAAACATGTCAAAATTTTAATACTATCTTTTTTACAATCAAAATTTTATTACTTTTGAAAATCAAGAATATGTTAAATTTTAACACGTCTCCAACATTATTATACACATGCCGGCTTAACCATAAGGCTAATAAAACTCTTTTTTAGGTCTCTAAAAAATACTTAGCGTTGGTATTTGTATACATTTTAGAAAATAACTTTTGAAATATTTACCCAATAGTAAAATAAATTTTGAAGAAAAATGTTCTTTACATCAAATTGGTATAATGATTGATCTAAGTTTGTAGCTAAGGATACTAGGATAGTAAGATTCTCACCGTATTTAACTATACTGCTCTGGTGAGAAAGTCTCCTTATAGTCTATACGGTATGTTTGGATATACCCATTTTGCTGCCAATTGTTTTTCGTACCTTTCTATGGACCCTTCTGTTTTGTGTTCAAAGTAAAAAAGAATAATAAAAAAAATAAAAATTACAGCCTACCGTCTTCTTCACTTAAGGTAAATTGATAATTCTCAAAGTGTTTTTAATCTTCTCAAAGCCCAATTGGATGTTGCATTCCAACACAAAACAAATGTCCCATGGTTTGGGTTTCTTTGCTTATGTTGGAATACATACAACCCATGGCAAAGTATAAGGAGAATATGTTAGTGGGGAAAAAAGGTATGATGACAAATTACCACGTTATTACAATATTGGTTGTAGCTCTAATTGACATGTGAAACTATTTGCACAAAGTTCTCCAAAAAAAAAAACTATTTGTAGGAGAAAAAAAAGAAAAAATAATAATAATTAATTTTTTCATAAAATAAAATTTATGCATAAATTAGAAATTAATTTTTTTTTTAAAATTAATAAGAGAAACCTTCTATGCTTAAACTAATTTTAACTGATGAACAAGTTTATTTTATTTTTTTCTTTCTCTTTTCACACTAATTTTTAGTTTTTAACTTTATAACTTATATATAGTAAGTCAAGACTAAGGGTGAAACCTTACATCTAGCCCAAAAAAAAACACAAGGGGGGTGGGGGGAATTCATGGTTCAAATGGAAGATACATCTAGCCATTGATAATTTATATCTTAAGTGGTAGCAATCAGAATAATTGAAGGAACACATGTTTAGCCTTTTCTTACTCAAAAGAGCTCATTAAAGAGAATTGTATTTGTTAACTGAACATATTTTTCGATCATGGGAATGAATATGCTACACTTCTTCATGTCACACAACTGAGAAGCATCTATTGCTAAGCTTTGCAAGTACCACCAAATTTTTGGCGAGCATTGCACTTCGGGAGGCACCCCAGAATTGTGCTACTACTACTAGGACTCGGTTTGTAAGTTGAGAAAAACTCTGGATCCTGCTCAAGTGATTTTGTATAGAACTCCAAAATGGAAACTATTTCATCAAAATGTGGCCTCTTATCAGGGTTGCTTGACCAGCATCTATTGATGAGATCACTAAATGCCCAAGGACACTCAGATGGCAATGGTGGCCTTGCATTCTACGCAAAATCAAAATCCACCAAATTAAGTTTCAAATGAAAATATATAAAACCCCACTTTATGTGAATCATGGAGAGAAACACTCATAAAACTAGAAGAACTAATATATGAAACATTTCCAAAACATATATGTGAAGCCAAATTGATGAGTCAAAGAGTATTAACAACATAACCTCTAACACATGTTTAATTATATGTTATTTGTCAAAATTTATTAAAAACTATCTAATCATAAATATTATTCGTTAAAAAGGATTTGGGTCCCATTAATAAATAAAGTTCAGTCAATATAAAAATGTTTAAATGATTGTGTTAAAAAATGTGGCTAGCATTTCTGTTGCTGAGTTTGACTAGTCTTGTGCATGGAACATATATCTATGGCAAAATAGAAACATAAAACCGCCTTTAGATAATGCATGTATATTTTTAGTATTTAATATTTTTACAAGATTCAAAGTATATCTCTTGGATATTGTAGCATGTGCAAAGACAGTGAACGAGAAAAGTTGGATTGGTCTGTGTATATTTTTTGCATCTGACTGATTGGAAGCAATATCAAACAGGGAGAAAAAAATCAAAAATAAAGGTTCTCCTTCAATTAGTGACTCAATTATATGGCACTTGTTCTGATGTGCTGTGCATGTGACAGGGAAGCAAGGGTGGTAGCAATCATTGATTTTCATAAATAATGTTATATCATATACCATATCTTAAATGTTGGAAAAGTAACCATCATCTACATGTCACGCAAAATAAAGAAACCTCGAGATTTTATCAAAATTCAATGTTGTTCATGAAGAGCCTAGTTTAGATAAGTAAGGGTATCATGTCAAAAACATAACCACATGCTCTGTAAAGATCATAGACAGAGAATAATTGTTGCCCACCCCGCCAACACGCTTGAGAAAGATTCGGGGCACGTTAACCATAAAAATGGGCTCAGTCAAGTGCATGCATACAGACATGATAAAGTAGATAACGAAAACGAAACAAACATATGTATGCATACAACGATGTATATTACAAAATATTAATTTTGACACTGAGTAACAATAGTGACCAGAGTAGTTCATGAACTTGGTGGGATAAAAATATAAAATGAAGGGTGTGAGGAACTATCATAACTTTACTAAGATAATTATGCATGCCCATGTTTCCATCTACATGCAAACAAATAATACAATGGCAAACTGTTCCTGCTAACAAAAGGGTCCCTAAGAAAACAGTTTTAGAATAGAGTGAAATAGATCCTCAATAGTACTGTTATAATGCTACATTGCTATATCGAATTTGATTAAATGGCATTTCTTTCTTCCTGTTCCTGAGCTCTTTTCTTTGTTGGAGTTTTTTCTAACTCATTTTTTTTCCTCTCATTCTAGCATACTTATCTGGATTGATATCTCCAACATCCATAAAATTTTCTACACACTATATCATTGATTGAAATTCATGTGAGTCCTACTAGATTGAAAATTAGACCCACTAAATAGAGAATGGGACCCACATAACAAAATTAGTGGGACACACATAAATATCAAACCAATATCAAAAGAGTGTATCAAAGACAGTTGTTAACAAATTTTTTTACAAAATATTTGATTTGGCATTCAGTTGTTTTCACTTTTGACAATAGATATACAACACTCCTTGATTTAATAGTTCTGATAATCACATACCAGCGAACTTCTTATGCTAGCCAAATTCATATAAATTTAGTGATGTCAATATGTCTAGAATCACCACTTCAATTATTTATTAAAAGCAACGATCATACTACTAAATACTAACAACTAAAACAATTGAGACGTAAGGCAATTTTGTGCACACTGAGCATGTGCATAGCATACCACCAGTTTTTTGATGTAAATATGTAGATTAATCATGAGACAAAAAAAACCATGAAATGAGCACTTAATTTTCTTCATAAAATTTAATAAGAGTACGAGTCATACAATTAGTAAATTCTGATGCAAACCTTATGGGAAACTGCAAATGCTGCCTGCTCTGGTGTCATGTTGTCAAATGGAGTTTTTCCTGTCAAAAGCTCCCATAGAACTATGCCAAAACTATACACATCTACTTTCTTGGTATGATGCTTTTCTTTGATCATTTCGGGCGCCATCCAACGGTATGTTCCGGTGAATCCTTTTGCACTGCCACACTGAGATTCTAAGCATGAGATACCAAAATCTGCTACTTTTACACACATGTCTTCCCCGAGAAGGAGATTCTCTGATTTGAGGTCCCTATGGAGAATCCCTTGAGAATGAAGATATTGCATCCCCCTTGCAATGTCAAGGGCTAATTTCAGAACAAGTTTGAGTGGAAGTATATCTGGTTGTTGGTGATGCAGGAATTTTCCCACTGAACCACCAGCCAAATATTCAGTAATTATGCAAAACACAGGAGGTTTCTTGCAAGCAGCAATAAACTGCATGATCAATAAAAGTCAACAGCTCCTTAGAAATGGTTAATGTCTCTATTATTCAGCATTAGCAGCATAAATTTTACATTTAAAACACTCTTCTCTTTAAAAAGGGTAAATCTCAGCTTTTAGTGCTTGTGTATTGATTAGGCAAGAATGCTATATTATCAGCTTTCAAGAAAAAGAATTAACCAATTAAAACACTTGCCTCTCAGCTCCTAAGACTCAATACATGATCAACAACACCACCATCCATAAGACACTGAAATGACTGGGTTGAGAGGGTAATTAAATGACATGCTAAAGAAATAGCCTATATTAAAGACAAATCGCAGCTCTTATGCTCAGTTTCAACCAACGGAATGGAAAGATACGCTAAAGGCATTGGAAGCACCTTTGGTAATTTTAACTTCATAACCACAAGCCTCTTGCACCACTTTTCCAACTAATCTGTTTGCCAATAACTTAGAAAATTCGTATTTAATCCGTAACTTCATTTTGCAGATAATCGTTTCCTTTTTGGTCTCCCTAGTTCCTTCGCCAAATTTCACAATACCTAGTTAGAAGTGCAAGACAATAACTACTTACCATTAAACCATCAAAATATTAAAGGGTTAAAGAAGCTACCCTCAAAAAGTGAAAAATACGTGACAATTGGATATTTAGACTAATAGTAGCAAGGTTATCATCTTCCACACACAAGCTAGTAACATATACTCATTATAACATTAGCAAGATGGTAATAGTAATAACAAGGCGGATGCAAGAACAGAACAATCAATCAAGAAAGAAAAGAAGAACAAAGCTTAGATACTGTCCTTTATATGGTTCTGGTTTGTTTGTCAATTAGAATTGGAGTTCCATCAACATAATAAATATTTATATTAAAGGTAAAACAAGTTTTTGAGATAAAACTTCATATCTGATGAGAAGACATTACCAGAAACACATAGAAAAACTACATCTAAGTTTTGTCCGAAAACAAGACAGATAGTTGAAGAAAGAAAAAACTTACAGTAATAATATTTGGGTGGCCTAATCTTAGGAGCAAGGAAACCTCAGAAGTGAATTGCTTCTCAAGAAAAGCAGCCAAGTCCTCATCCTCCTCAGGTTGACTTATGAGCTTAATTGCCACATCCTTCTGCTTGTAAACTCCTCTATAGATTCTGCTGTGCCTGCCAGAAGCAAATTTGGATCCAATGAGCAACTGAGACATATCTGCACTCCATTCCTCTTCTCCTTCTCCCTTTATCTCAGCCCCAGGAGACACAAGATACTTAGACCATGACACTGCACGGTTATACTCCCCAAGTGAAAGCCTTCTCCCCAACTTGCCACTGTTGGAAATTTGCTTGTGCCACTTCAAGTTCTTCATGTGGCTCACACTCAAACCTAGCACCTCTCAAAACCATCAAAGTTCAACCTCTTCCAAATGCAGATCCAACAACAGCCTTAAAGTTTCAATAAATGCACCAATTCGCGGAACACCCTGATGAGAAAAAGCTTATTTTCATGGCTTAAAGGGTGAGTAAGGTAACTACATTATCAATATTTCGCATCATTAGGTCCCCCTTTCGCTACATAAGCTGAAAACAAAGAGGAAGAAAACCAGGACCATGAGAAGAAGCTCATAACCCTTTACGGTCTTCGGTGAAAAGAACAAATTTTTTAACAAGAGGTACACAGAGACAGAGAAAGAGAGATAAGTTTTGTTGTTGATTTCCAACTTCCAATCAAGTGCCCACAGCAAGTGAAAGAGAGAGAGAAATAGTTATAGTAGAAACAAACCAATAATTTTTGTCTTTTAACCATTTCATTACGGGTTCGATTTTATTCGTACATATAAATTCATCTCTTCAAATTAGTATTTTAAGAAACTAAATTCTAACTTTCAGAAATATCCGAGTTCACCTTTAAAAAAATAAAGAAAAACACATAATTTAAGAAAAAGAGACAAAAAACGATTCTCCTGTTTTTATCAAGATTTTTTTTCTTTTTAAAAAATCTCAAATCCAAATATTTTCTTTTAAAAAAATCTTAAATTCTCTTTTTCTTATTAATATTTTTATTGAGATTTATTTTTTTTAAAAAAAAAATCTCAAATTCTTCCTTCTTTATTTCTATTTCTATCGAAATTTTTTAAAAAAATATTAAATCTACATCTCAGATAAAGTATTGAGATGAAGACGTGTTTATTTGCAAGTGTCTACAATGAAAATATGTATAATTTTGTAGGTATCTATAATAAAAACATGTTTGATTTGTGAGGAAATGATCTGTCAAAGTGTCTGAGGCGCATCCACAACATATTTGTTCCGAAAGAGT